TGTAAAGCTTTGATTTAGATTGATACAAAACGTAAGCCCAAGAAAATATCCACAACTTAGAGAATCTGGGTAGCTGACTAGAAATGAAGTTGAAGTCCAGGAGGAGGGAACATTTTATCCCATTACTTCAGGAGAGAAGTAAGGGCTGAAGAAAGGTTATTGGACTCAAAACATTAACTCTGCTTTCTCTCCACAGATGCTGCCAGACCTGCTGAATTTTTCCAGCACTTTTTATTTTTGTTTTACTCCAGGAGGGCAAGTCGACTATTCCATTAGTGCAAGAGAACCCTGTGTAAAACTGGAGCCAACGGAATCAGGAAAAATCTCTCTGCTGGATTGAGTGTACCTAGCACAAACTAAAATGGTTGTGGTTATTGCGGATCAGTCTTCTCAGTTCCAGGGTATCTCCGCAGGAGTTCCTTAGGGAAGTGTTCTGTACCCAACCATCTTTACCTACTTAGTGCAAGAGGGGGAATGGTTGACCCCATTACTCGGTTGGGGGATGGTGGTGAGAGTGGGCAGAGAGAATGAAGGGGTAATGGTTTACTCCATCACTCCAGGAGGGGGAATGGTTTATCCTATTACTTCAGGAGGGGGAGTGGTTTATCCCATTACTCCAGGAAGGGATATAGTTTATCCTATTACTTCAGGAAGTGGAGTTGTTCATCTCTTTACTTCAGCAGGGGGAATGGTTTATCCCATTACTCAAGCAGAGGGAGTACTGTTTATTACATTACTCTTTGGGAGTGGAGTGGTTTAGTTCAGTACTTCAAGGATGGTCAATGAGGGACAATTTTCTCCAGACAGTCGATTATGTATTTTGTTCAACTGGCAGCTAGTTTCCCACAAGATTTGCTCTTGGTATCTCACACCGGATCCTGGTTGAAAGATAACACACTCAGCTGCTTGGTCAAATGTCATAATGATGAGCAGTAATAAGGTTTTCCCCAAATGGCCTGGACAAAATGGATGTTAGGGAGATGCTTCCATTGGTAGGAGAGTATAGAACCCAAGGACACAGTCTTAGCGTAAAGGGAAGGCCTTTTAGAACGGAGGTAAGGAGAAACTTCTTCAGCCAGAGATTGGTGAATCTACAGAATTCACTGCCACAGAAGGCTGTGGAGGCCAGGTCATTGAGCACATTTAAGACTGAGATAGATAGGTTCTTGATTATCAAGGGGATCAAGGGTTACAGGGAGAAAGCAGGAGAATGGGGTTGAGGAACTTATCAGCCATGATTGAATGGCGGAGCAGACTCGATGGGCCGAATGGCCTAATTTCTGCTCCTATGTCTTATGGTGTCATGGTCTTAAACTTACATTGCGTGGTTGGAAGGGAATGCGTTCCTGGTCTTCATCCATTGCTGGAATAATCACTGACATCTTCCTGGGACCTTTAAATCCAAGTACATTTGTCTCCTGTAAACAATGTAACTTTGTGTTAAGATACACAAAAATATAAGAACAACATATTTATCCAGGTTCTAGGTTTATCTATGATTGTTAACTAACTTGCTATGACTAATTCTGATTATAAACCTGGCCCCGCTTTAATTACCACTATCATCAGGGGGCTGCACAGGACAGAGGTTCAAAGTGTAGCCTCATATCTCTCATAGAAGCTGTGACGAACAATGGAGATGAAGCAGCCCTAATTCACAGGGCCACTTCAAAAGAGGATCAACCTAAGGAAACTTTCGAATATCCATTATAGGATATCAGAGAGCCATATGCACTAAACTAGTAACCTGGACAGGCTAATGTTGGTGACATGAATTCAAATCCCACCATGGCAGGTGGTGGAAATTGAATTCAATCAAAATTTGATATTAAAAACAAAATCATTAGTGTAACAGTGATCATGTAATCATTGCTGATTGCTCTAAAAACCCATCTGGTTCAGAAATATTGTTTAAGGAAGGAAATCTGCAGTCCTTTTCCCAGTCTCACCTCCCTGTGACTCCAGACTAACAGCAATGTGGGCAATTAGGGGTGGATAACAAAAGCTGGCCCAGCCAGTTACACCCACATCCTGTGAATGAATAAAGAATAAAATGCTTTTATTCTCTGCATTGTTTCTGAAATAAGTTTCGTGTTTCCAGGAAATGACACAGATTTGGGCAGCATCTGTCTCATGAGGTCAAAGTTTGTGGAATAACCTGAACGGATGAGGAGATCTTTCCTTTGCATCATTGAACTAGCTTCATATTTAGCGTTGTTGTAAACGTAATAGTTCTGAAAGGGTTAATATTGGGGACTGCATTAAACTCCATCCAATCTGACAATATTATATCGGCTTGGGTGAAGATAAAGGCAGAACATCTTCAGATCTCATAGATTGCAGACCGAAATCCACATGCCTCTTCATATTCTTAGTCACAATGTCTAATGTAACTTGTATCTAATTGCTGTCATGTAATAAACTGCATCTTATTCCAGAAAAAAAGGCTTGTTTCTGCTAAGCCACAATAATGGTTGATCCTTTATCACGCTAAACCATTTAGGCTTTTATACTCATGTCAAGGAAAGCGATTCGGTGACATTTCTTGCTAGAAATACATGATGATCAGAGTGGGCATCATTGCTTCAGGCATCTCAAAGTTACAGAGAAAAAAATCCATTGGCTCAAGGAGAGGAAATTTCCAGAAGACTAATTGAGGTTTCAGCTTTAGATTTTACCATTTTAAGAACGACTCACACAGTTAGCAGCTGCAAACACTTGAGCAAATAACCAGTCGGCAAGAATTCGTGGAAAGGCTAGTCAGGCAGAAACAGTGCTACAGGATAAAACCTTTATTTCAGGCCTGCTAAGAAGCAGGGTTGAGCTAGAAAGAGAAGAAGACAATTGAAATCTGGCAGTTACAAATTCTACTGGAAAGCGAGGATCCATTGGAGCATTCCCAGTTCAAAGTTTGATGAGAAAGTGAAGGTATTGGAGCTCTGTGAGTTAAATTTGCACCATTGCAGCAGACATCATGAGGTATAGCCATAGTAGGGAAATCCACAACCATAAAAGTTCTTTAGGTTGAGGTCATAGGCTTGGAAACATTGCAAAAGAGATTTAAGGTGAGAAAAGGGATCATTTAAAAGTTAAAGCAAAGAGTCCAACAGAAGTGTGAGTAGATAATATGTCTTGGTGTGTGCCAGTCTTCAGCCAATTCGATTTACTCCACATGATGCCAAAAATGGCTGGAAACACTGGATATTGCAAAGGCTATGGGTCCTGACAACATTCCAGCAATAATACTGTATCTAATGCTCTAGAATTTGCTGCTCCCCTAGCCAAGCTGTTCCCAGTACAGTGACAAAACTGGCATTTACTTGATAAGTGGAAAATTGCCCAGGTATGTCCCATATATAAAAAGCAGGACCAATCCAACTTGACCAATTATGACCCTATCTACTCTTGATCATCAGCAAAATGCTGGAAGATGTCATCAACAGTGCTATCAAGCAGCACCTGCTCAGCAATAACCTTCTCGGTGATGGCTAGTTTGATTTCTGTCAGGGCCACTCAGCTCCTGACATCAATACAGCCTTGATTCAAACATGGACAAAGGAACTGAATTCCAGAGGTGAGGTGAGAGTGACAGCCCTTGACATCAAAGCTGCATTTGACCAAGTTGCACATTAAGAAGCCCTACCAAAACTGGAATCAATGGGGGCAGACTCTCTGGTGGTTGGAGTCATAACTGGCATGTAGGAAGATAGTTGTGGTTGTTGAAGGTCAGATATCTCAGCTCTAAGACATCTTGGTAGCAGTTCCTCAGGATAGTGTCCTAGGCTTAACCATCTACAGTTTCTTCATCAGACCGTCCCTCCTTCATAACGTCAGAAATGGGAATGTTTACTGATCACCACACAATGTTCAGCACCATTTGTAACCCCTCAGATACTGAAGCAGTCTGTGTTCAAATGCAACAAGATCTGGTCAATATCCAGGCTTGGGCTGACTAGTGACAAGTGACATTTGCACCACACAAAATTTAGGCAAAGACCATCTCCAATAACAGACAATCTAACCACCACTCCTTGACATCTAATGGCATTACTGTTACTGAATCCCCAACTATGAACACCCTGTGTGGAAGTTACCATTGACCAGAAACTCAAGTGGACTCCCCATATAAATACAATGGCTACAAGAGCAGGTCAGAGGCGAGAAATACTGTGACAAGTAGCTCAACTCCTGACTCCCTATCTACAAGACATCCTCATCTGCAAGACGCAAGTCAGGAGTGTGATGGAATACTCCCTACTTGCCTGGATGAGTGCAGCTCCAACAACACTCAAGAACATTGACACCATCCAGGACAAAGCCTGATTGATAATTCACAGATACTTCTGAGGAAGCTCGAAAAGCTTTATACAATTATTTCCATCTGAGAACGAATAAATTCTAGAAAGAGCAAGATTTAACAGCTGAGTTCAGCATCCAGGGAATCTGTAGATAATTTCATCAATGATCCCTCCAGATCAGTGGAAAACTGATAGTGTGGAGCTATGAAATCAGACAGAATTGCTGTTGGCATTATTGTGAGCCTTTCTCAAAATTATTGTTGTCTGAGAAGATCTGACTCTGAAGAAAGCTATTCATATTGTGCTGGAAGTAAAAAGAAGGAAGAATCATGAACAAATCCTGAGATCAAAAGCATAACCTTTTCATAAGAGAGCAACAGGACCTATCCAGTTTATAAACTATAAACCCTCTAAAGACATATGACAACCAATTGAAAGTCAGTGTATGTGCTGTGAGACAACAACAAAGCAAAAAGCTTCGCAGTACCAAGCAATGACAAAAGAATACTACATCTATAAAATTATAGGTCACTTCCAGAAGATGTGCAACTTTAGCACACAATTTCAGAACAGCAAAATGTCAAATGCCTTCTCATACAAAGATAATACTGAAAGAACCACCAACATCAGCCCAATGTGTTCCTATGGGAAACTGGTGATCCAATGGACTCAAGTTTAACAGAATCACTTCATGTCACTGCACACCTAATTAATTTTGGTACGGGGCAAATGTCACTATTTTATCAGATAGATTGTCATGGATGAAGAAGCAGCAGTCAGAGCTGATGGAAATAACATGGCATTATCCAGGTAGCATCATCATTTTCACCTTAAAGATAAGTAGCAAGCAACTCTGCAACACAAAAAGATAGGGAATTGATTTACAATCAACACTTCCCATTTTTGAGCCTGCATCCAAATCTTGTTCTTGACATCCTTGGAGTGGCAGGTGTTCAACAAGTTCCAAGACAAGTCAAGAAAAACCAAATTCTATTCGAAGAGAAACTGTTGGAGAATAACAAGTCCAAGAACAAATTCTTGCCATCCAACTGCTCAAAGGGCAACAAGTTGAAGATTTCAGTGGGTTTCTTAAACTCATAGTTGAACCAAGGAAGAACTATTTAGGTTCCTTTTATAGGCATAAGAGAATTGTTTCATACTATTGGCAGGAAGAAAATCTGTGACTATATAGGAGTCGTGGAAATGTTTTCCATTCCTATTTTCACTGCAAAAGTCCAACGAATTTTGTGAGCAGAAGCAACAACTGGCAACAAAAATGAGTAGTACAACCCACTTGAGTTCATTGTTGAACCTTCATTTGAGAAATAGCGCAGCTTGGTGAACAAATATTAATAACAAATTCAAGTCTGATACTAGGTTCTGAGAAGACACAAGCTCAAGCAGAACTTTTCATTCCTATATTCTCCCCAGAAGAATCCTCAGTTTTAGTAACAATGATCATGCCATGCAAGTGTGGCTGACGATGATTCACCAAAACTACGATCACAGAGGTGAATTAAAGTGTCCAAGTGAAGCAATAATCCAAGGTTAAGAGTCTACATATGTCAGCATAGATTTACCAGCTGATTGAGAATAAGAATCTGCTCACGCAAAGGAAAGTGTGATGCATACAACTCCATTGAAGGGACCACTTGAGTTAGGATCACTATTGTCCACAGATTCAGGACACTGCATAGAAGAGTGTTCTTGTTTCTATCATTATGATGGAAATTGATGAGATTAAAGACTATATAGATGACATAATTAGACAATGACTTGGAGATAGCAAGTTAGATTTCCTACTAAAGGAAATTCAGAGATTACGGTCATGTGGAAAAGGTAATGGACTGGCTACCAGGGTTAGCAGGAACAACAAAGGATATCCATGAGATAAAAGATCTTCTAGCAGAGAGCCAGTTTACAGACCAGGCAATGTCAAGATCAGAAGTACAGTCTACAGTCTTCAAGCCAAAGACTTACCAATCTTCCAACTCTGAAAAGAACACATCCTAAAAGAATTGAGAAGGTTAAGAATAGCTTGAATTTATAAAGTCAGGCACTTGGTGGAGATAAGATAATGGGAAATGTAAATATATCCAATAAAATAAGAATGTTAACCATAAGGGAAACAAAAAACTTGGAGGGAGAGATGTTGTGAAAGGTAATGGCTATGAATGGATTGATGTTGTGAAAGGTAATGGCTATGAATGGATTGATGTTGGTATTTGTCTCAGGTAGGTAGCACTTGAAATTAGACTTTCTGCTGCAGAGGTAGGGACACTATCACTACACCACAAGACCCTTAGACCCAGTCAAAGGAGAGAATATTGATGTGAGCATCTGTTGACCAACAATTATCATGGAGGCTCGGTTTCAATTGCAGATTTATGAATTGAATTGAAATTCTATCAGCTGTCTCGGTGGGATATGAAGACAGTTCCCTCAGTCATTAGCCTGGGCCTCTGGATTACCAGTCTTTCCCACCACACCACCTCTTCCCCCAAATGTGGGGTTATTTTCAGTTGCAATTGTTCTAATGTTGACCCCTTAGAAAACTATAAAGAATGACTAGCTGCCAGGGCATGTTACAGAAGCAAAATGCTTCCAAGTAATGCCACATTTGTCTGAACCAACTGACCTCCCTCCTGAGTGAAGGATAGCATGTACTAACATACGGGCGAGTTACATGGGCAGTGGACAGAAAGTACTAGGTTATAGAAAGGAAGTACAAGATTGTGAACAGGAGTAGCCAGCCAGCAAGGATACCTCTGAGGCACTGGTAGGCATTGAGGGGTCAGCTCATGACCAAAGAAAGGAGAACCCAGGTCCATGTTGCATTGAAGGAGGTCACTAACATATTTAACATTGCTATTGAGATGGCACTCAGCCTGTGAGGAGAATGCATGCAGCAGATTTTGCCATGGGTTTCCATTCATCAATAACTGTGAAGTAGGCCTAATTAAATAGAATATATACTGCTTCAGATTACTGCTTGTTTGATTTGCCACCTCGTTTACTGTTCAGTTTTGTACTAGTGCCCGGGGGCCCTGCGAATTTGTCATTAAAACATCGATGTTATTTTGACAGAGATAGTAGGAACTGCCGATGCTGGAGAATCTGAGATAACAAGGTGTAGAGCTGGATGAACACAGCGGGCCAAGCAGCATCAGAGGAGCAGGAAGGCTGACGTTTCGGGTCTAGACCCTTCTTCAGAAATGGTATTTTGGCGCTATTTTGATGTTCACACATTTTCCTGCTTCTGACTTCTTAAACTCCAAAGAATGTTGAATTGGCAGCAAAATGTTTACGCTATCCTGAGGTTATGAAAGCTGTTGTAGAAATAGCAAATAAGCAAAAGAATGATCCGAGCCTGAAGCTGATGACGATCTAAAAGAAGAAAGGCTGGAAATAATCGTTGTTTAAGACAATTAGTGCCTGAAAGGGTTAACAGACATCATGCAATAAGTGCTGCCCATCAGGAAGTAAAGGACTGTTCCCTGGTAGGAGCTAACCACATCTGTGCTTGTTACTTGTTCAATGTGAGAAGATTTCAGCACTTTATTGTGGACTTATTCTTAGGTTGAGCCTGAGGTCTCATAAGAGACTCTCAAATATCCTCAAGTGCAATATAAACAGTCATTTGGTAACAAGTAGTAAACAGTTCCATTTGACAAGATCAAGCAAAAACCGAAAGAACTGCAGATGCTGTAAATCAGGAACAAAAACAGAAGTTGCTGGAAAGGCTCAGCAGGTCTGGCAGCATTTGTGAAAGAAAAAATCAGAGTTAATATTTCGGATCCGCTCACCCTTCCTCACTTCTTTTTCAGCAACTTCTGTTTTTGACAAGATCGAGCCCTCTTCTGCCTAAGACATTTGATATCAGTAATGTAGACTGATACCAAGGCAGATTGGTCAGAGTGAATCTATTCAAGGTGTCCCACATAGTATCAACATTTGCAATGATATTCAGCACAGCCATCACATCTATGGAGAGAAATAGAGTTTACATGTCAGGCCAATCATCCTACATGATAGGTTGTGAGGAAAGCTCAATGACCTCTGTTTCCTTCCACTGGTACTATCTTCCCTGCTGACTTTCTCCAGCTCTTATTTTAAATTCACAGAATCCCCACCAGCTACCAATGACAGTTTTCTGAGATAGATTCACCTCTGCAGATACTCACGTAAGTGATAGCAGCAAGCTCCTGACGTACATTTGAATGACCGTGCCGTCCCCTCTCAGGGTTGACTCCATTGTCAAACACTGTAAACCTAGTTCCCATCAGGTTCGACCTTTGAGAGTTCAAAGAGACAAAAATGAAACTGGTGTACATCAACAGGCAAATGTTTATCCACACTGTCACAAAGAGGGCAAGAGAGAGACTTGGCATGGTGACTATATGAACAATGACAGACAAGGTAAGGATTCTCTGTCTCATCTTGTTCAGCACAATTTGTAACACCTCATGCATCATAATACATAGGACTGAATCTTGTTCCTGAAACAAATGGCCATTCACTGAAAGACTGGCATCCTGTGTGTCTGTGCCATCTTTAAAGGGCACTGTGCACTTGGATGGGCACTGACATTCCAAAGCCATGTTCCACCAAGGCTCATGTTCTTCCACTTTCACTATCGCTTGCAACACCTTCCCTCACTTGCTCTCATTGACTGCTCCCTGTATGCCCTCTCTGCTACCTCCTCAGTCCCTCTGTATGCTTCCTTAACTTTACCCCACCTGCACCAGCACGAACAGCCATGCTGCCCATTGTAGATCTCACTTATTAGCTCCGATTTTTCATTGCAAGGGAAGACAGCCCATGAAAAGGCAGAGATAGCCTGAATGGGTATGGGGGTATCTGTATCCTCACACCCCATGAAGAGAAACACCTGGGCCTTGCAGCAGATGACTGCTCCTGTGGGGATGCAGAAACATCCATGTCCCATCAATCAAGTATGTCCCACATTTCATTCCATTGTAACTCTCACACTAACCCCCTGTAACTTTCAATCATTGCACATCACTTGTAACCACTGGTTACAGCTTAACTTAACTTGTCCTTACCCTTAACAACTTCTCTTTCAACTCCTCCCACTTTCTACAGACAAAAGGGGTGGCCATGGGAACCCGCATGGGCCCAAACTATTCCTGCCTTTTTGTAGGTTACATGGAACAATCCCTCTTTTGCAGCTACACTGGCCCTAAGCCCCACCTCTTCCTCCGTTATATCAATGGCTGTATCGGTGCCGCCTTGTGCTCCCACGAGGAGCTCGAACAGTTCATCCACTTCACTAACACCTTCCACCCCGACCTTAAGTTCACCTGGACCATCTCTAATACCTCTCTCTCCTTCCTGGACCTCTCTGTCTCCATCCCTGGTGACCACCTCCAAACTGATATCTATTTCAATCACGCTGACTCCCACAGCTACCTAGACTACACCTCCTCTCACCCACCTTCCTGCAAGAATGTGATCCCCTACTCCCAATTCCTCTGCCTCCACTGCGTTTGCTCCCAAGATGGGGTGTTCCACTCCTGAACATCCCAGATGTCCTCTTATTTCAGTACCGCAACTAACCCCTTCAGTGGTTGAACATGCTCTTGATAGCATCTCTTGCATTTCCCACACCTCTGCCCTCACATCCCCTCCCCGCAACAGAAACAAAGATAGAGTCCCCCTTGTCCTCATGTATCACCCCACTAACCTCCGGATTCAATGTATCATTCTCTACCACTTCCGCCACCCGCAATCTGACCCCACAACCAAGGTTATATTTCCCTCCCCACCCCTATCTGCCTTCCGTAGGGACCGCTCTCTCTGCGACTCCCTTGTCCGCTCCAAACTCCCCATTAGTCTCACCACCCCCGTCACTTTTCCCTGCAACTGCAGGAAGTGCTACACCTTCCCCTACACCTCCCTCCTCATCCCCAACCCAGGCCCCAAAAAACCTTCCATATCAGACAGATGTTCACCTGCACTCCCGCTAATGTGGTCTATTGTATCTGCTGTTCCTGATGGGCCCTCCTCTACATCGGTGAGACCAAGCGGAGGCCTTGCTGGACTTGGCCACAAATCTCCAATAGCCCACATTGTTCAGGCATCTATAAGATTCTTCTCATAGATTCCACAGCCTATCAGAAATCGTGTGAGTGAGCTGAAAAATGAGGTATAATATGATACCAATTTGGCAATAAACAATCTGGGAAGCTCCTCTCCTGCTCTCCCTTATCTCCTGTAAAACAATCCAGTCAGTTGCATTCCCTTTTGGCCATCTCTAGAGCTCTATAAATCTACTTTCTTCAAGTGTCCATCCAAATTCCCTTTGCAGTCATTAACCACTTCTGCTTCCTCCATCCTTGGAGACAGCGTTTCCAGCTCTTTGCCATCTCTTATTTGGAAAAACATCTCCCTCAACTACCTCTTGCATTTCTCGCTCTGAATTTCTGTGGCCCTGGATCTTGTGCAATCAGCTCATGGGAAGTATTTCTCTTTGTCTACCTTACTTAAACCTGCTTCTTCTACACTGCTAACAAATCTCAGACCAGGTCCTCTGTCCCTTATACACTTCTATTTACATTTCTAAACATTCATTCATGGTATATGATGTTGCTGACTGAGCCGTCATTTATTGCCCATCCCTAGTTGCCCTTGACAAGTTGGTGGTAAATTTTTGCTGTCCATTTGGTGTAAGTGGACACACAATGCTTTTAGCAAGTGAGTTTCAGGATTTTGAAAGGAACATGCAGATGGTGGTGTTCCATACATCTGTTCCTGTTACCCTTAGATTGAAGTAGACTTTGGAAGGTGCCTTGTCTAAGAAACCTTGGTGAATTTCTGCAGTGCATCTTGTAGATAGTACATACTGCTGCTACAGAGCATCAGTGGTGGGAGGGAGTGGATGTTTGTGGATATGGTGCCAGTCAAGCAGGCTGCTTTTTCCTGGATGATGTCAAGCTTCTTGAGTGTTGCTGGAGCTGCACTCACCCAGGTGAGTAGGAAGTATTCCATCACATTCCTGACTTGTAACTTGTAGATGGTAGACACGCTTTGGGGAGACAGGAGGTGAGTTACTTGCCGTAGGATTCCTAGCCTCTGACCTGCTGTAGTAGCCACTGTAATTATATGGCTAGTCCAGTTCAGCTTCTGGTCAATGGTAACACCAATGTTGTTGATAGTGTGGGTTTCAGTGCTATTAACACCAATGAATGCCAGGAGACCATGGCTAGATTCCTCTTGTTAAACATGGTCATTACCTTGCACTGGTGCCATGAGAATTACACTTGCATTTTGTCAACCCAAGCCTGGATATTTTCCAGGTCTTGCTGCATTTGGAAGTGGAACTATTTTAGGTATGAGAGGAATTGTGAATGACGCTGAACATTGTGCAACCAATAGCAAATATCCCCACTTTGGACCTTAAGATGAGGGAAGGTGAAGGAGCATTGAAACATTCTTGTTAATTTACATTTATATAAATTTAGATCTTAAGTTTGCACATATGGTTAAGTTTGTCCCAATATTTATATTTACTCAGTGAAGTCTATACTTTTGAAGTATCCAGCTCTGCTTCCAGGTGAAATGTTTTCCAGCACCAGGGACAGCTCCACCAGAGAGAAAAGTGGATACAGTTGCCACACTCTCAGATTCTCACCTTTTCTCCCTCTTTATTCTTTATTTCCATATCAACCTGTTCAGAGATGTCACCACAGATCTGTGGGATACTCGAAAGATCTGAGGCATTGATTCCTGACAGCTTGTTCCCTAGCTTTATGTCGGTGTGGTGTTTCCCACAAGAATGTCTTCTATAAATCCAGGAGGGAATAAGTCTACTGTGAATTTCTCAATAGTTTACTTTGGAGACTACTAATTGTGGCAATGGGTTTCCATATACATCCCACAGCCCAAGTGACCAAGATACCTTTCTGACATAAAAAGACTTACAGATTAATAAATATTCCTTGGAGTTACTCAAATGTCCTACAGACACTGGCAAGGAAGTAAGTACAGATTATAATTGGGCTATTGGAAATAATTCTTCCAAAATATAGTGACAATATTCTATTTATTATTTGAGATGCAGTGAATGGTTATATCCTGTTCCTACATTTCAATTGCTTTGTCATGGCTCTTTCTTAACCTATTGCCAATGACTACAGATGCTTGATGTGCTTGGCACTGATGAGCTATAAGACAGAAAATAAGTCAAAGTTTATAATCTCAATGTCAACAGGCCAGCACATATTCCTCTGAGATGTGTTGCCCTTCAGCAGTGCTGAACAGAATGGTCAAAAGAATCAGAGGGAGCAGGTCTCTTCGGAATGCTTCATACAACATGTAGAAGCTGACTGAGGGTGGGATTAAGGTGTGGTGCATGTCATCTACTTTCCTATTCACATGACACAACAGACTGAAGCAGAGGGGAGACTGAAGAGATGGGAAGTGGGTCTTTCAGCCAGTGGGCAACTTTGCAATATTCACCAGGAAAGGCCTGGGGTTCAAGGTTCAAGCTGAGCTGAGAGTACACTCCTGTCAGAAAGACAGGACCATTTGGGTTAGTAATTAAATTTGGGATGGAGAAAGTTAATCAATGCTCCCTCAGAGAAAGATTGTAATACATTGAGTTTGCCTGGGTTTGAAACTGCATACTTGAGGTAAAAATCAGAAAGGGTGGAAACTACTCTTGGGAGGTACTGCAATGCAGACCGTATTGATCAACCATTCCCCATCCACATGCTCCATCGATCATCAGTCTTATCAACTCTAGTGTACAACAGGCAATTGTTCACTACCTGCAGGGTTTTGATGATCACAAATACTGTGGGCAGTTTTAAACTTCTTATCTAAGGAAGGATGTAAATTCATTGGAGATGGTTCAGGGGTGGGTTACTAGATTGATAACTGGAATTAGTGGGTTTTCCAGTATTTGAGGATACCTTGGACAGGCTGTGCTTGTTTCCAAGGAGTTTAAAAGTGTGAAGGGTGACTTGACTGAAGTGTATAATACCTTGAATGGACATGCCAATGATCTTTTCTCTTGTGGGTGAGTCCAAAACTGGGAGGCAGTGATTTAAATTAGGATTCACTCTTTTCAGACTGCGATGAGGAGAACATTTTATTCTCTCAGAGCGTTGTGTGAGTTTGGAACTATTTCCCTCAGAAAGCATTGGAGGCAGTCTCATTATTTAAGGCAGAGCTAGATTTTTGTTGGGCAGGGGAATCAAAGGTTACTGGGATAGGTGGAAATGTGAATTTGAAACACAAATGGAACAGCTGTGATTTAATAGAATGGCGGATCAGGCTCAAGGGGCAGAATAGTCTCTTTCTGCTCCCATTTCGAATAGTCAACACAATACCTTGGTCTGCATTCTCCAGTTCAGAGGCAATGCTACAAGAGTAGGTGAGTTCCAGAATGGAAACATGTGATGGTATGATATCAGATTGGTGTTGTGAATAGGAGCTAAGAGAAGGGATGGATAAATGGTAGCCAGCACAACCTGAGCTTTCCAATGAAGTTTTCTCCCCCTCGGGACAGGTCTGTTGGATCGATTGAAATGAGGTAGTTGGATGTCTTGCTTTTTTTCCGCTTCCTGCCAGCCAACAAGAAAACCTGGGACAAGAGACAGTCTTATTTAGAAAGCAATTAATAGCCATAGGAGACAATGTCTGCATCAACATTCCAAATAGGCATCAGGTCAACACAAACTGGTCCATACTGCAGCGCATGAAACAATAGGTTTGCACCTGTGGACAGGTATAAAGTGAGCTCTAGTGTAGTGTATTGTGATCCAATGGGCAGCCTCAATTGTCATTATGTGACTGTGTATTATTATCATTTTATATGAAAATGCTTTTGGGGCTACTCTGGTAACCCCACTGACAGAGCTCATAACTCCAGTGTGCAATCCCTACAGTTACTGACACTCCCCGTTCTCTGATAGCTTTTAAAACTAGCGAAGTGAAGGAACCTTCTACAACTTTGTTTAAATGATAGCATACAGTCCCCACAATGCAATTCTGTGCCACACTAATATTGCTGGGGAAGAGAAGTCCACTGACATACATTAAATATTGTCCGATAAATCATACACTGTTCTCACAAAAGATATCTGCTTGTACCCATCTGTCACTCCTTTATCAGTAATACCTAAGAATAGACTGATATTGTGTGGAGCTCCAGGTGAGACTGGCAGTGTGTGTATACAAAGCCAGTTTGGAAAGTAAGATGTTAGGAGAACAGAATGAGAATTCATAGGGGTGTAGACAGATTAAATGAGTGGATTAGAACAAGTATAATGTGGGGAAATGTGAGATTATCCATTTTGGATGGAGAAAAAAGTAAAGTAGATTATTTTGAAATGATGAAAGAGTGGGATATGCTGGTATGGAGCTTGGATATCATTGAACATTAATCACAGAATTGAAACATGCAGGTACAGTAATCGGTTGGGTAAGCAAATGGTATGGTAGCCTTTATTACACAGGAATTGGAATAAAGAAGTGACAGAGTCTTACTGCAATTGGTCAGGACTTTGGTGAGATTAGTAAATCAGAAGGAAAAAGCAGTAAAACTTGCAAGTTGCATATACTGATCCAATTAGTATTGTATACTTCAAATTGGAGCTCCAGTATGACCAATATCATAGAATCATAGAATTCCTACAGTGTGGAAACAGGCCCTTTGGCCCAACAAGTCCACACCGACTCTCAGAGCATCCCACCCAGACTCATCCTCCTAATCTACACATATCTATACAAATATCTAAATTTCCTAAGGATCATAATAACCCAAATTCTGTCAGAATATTTTCCCTGGTGAGCGATTCTAGAACAGTGATGTCCAATACACTAACTACCTGTCACATGTAACAAAATGCTCAGAGACGTGGTGAATCAATGATGTTCATTTTTAGAACCATACTGCATTGCATTATAGTTGCAATCATGGGTGTAGTTATGGTTATCGCATGCTAGACAGCTAATTCTCATCTGTCCCTAGGAGCAAGGATGAGGCAAACACATCGATGTTAGACAGAATTTGCAGATCGATCAGGCCACATCTGTGTTTATCAGAATACAGGTATTTCTGCCATAATGCATGTTTGGTTAACGCGAATTGACTGCGATGCGATGAATGAATTTATGCCATTTGGATAATGCAAATTTTCTGCTTGTACAGGTATAAAGATTTTCTATAGCAATTTTCTATAATGCAATTTTCTATAGCAGGAGGTCACACAAGAATGCAACTATCGCGTTATAGGAGAACTATCTGTATATTCAAATCTTAGCTTCCATGATACTTAGGTATGTGTTCAATGAAACAAGAAAGATAATCTGAAAGAAGAGTTGAGGGAGGGGGTCACAGTCAGACCAGAACCAGAAATGTTCCTCACTCTTCGCAAAAGGACACGCACAGCTAGGATGCACACTGGTGCCCGTATCATTTTATCTTTTATTGGGAGGAAGCGAGATGTGTTAAAGTGGAAGTTGTTCAATAAGAGAATAAAGTTGGCCAATGGAGGAGGGTGGGGTTGAATAGAAACCTTTTGGGTCTCTATTTGAGGAAAATGTTCTCAAGGGAATCCCTCAAGCTGCCCTGTTGGGGGATGGGGCTGTTAGACATCTGTGATGAAGAGGAGACAGATAAGACCAAGAAATTGGAAACTGCTAAAAGCAAGGGAAGACCTCAGAACAGTCACAGATGTAGATTGACAGAGACTAAATAAGAGGGCAAAAGTAGAGTCAAGATAGGAAGAAACCAGTTCAATCAGTCTGAAATGAAAAGTTTCCCAGAGGACGTTATGGATTTTGTAAATGAGGTGACGTTTTTAATGATTGGCTGACTATGAAGAAGGAGGCAAAATAGAACATTAACACCGTTTCTCTTCCATCAGATGCTGTCAGACACGCTGAGTATTTCCAGCATTTTCCATTTTTATTTCAGATTTCCAACATCTGCAGAATTTTGTTTTTGGAATAAAAATAGTCTGCCATCGTTGTAACCTTCCCCATTACAGTTCTCCCTGTGATGCATTCAGATCTGGAAGGGCACACTATAAGGCAGTTTGACAGAACAGCCTGCATTTGGAAGGACAGTAGCCCACTTCATCTTCAAATGTTGTGATATGGGATGTTAACTGAAGAAGTAAGTTTTATTTATCAGGTAGTAGGCAACGTTGTCAAACAGTTGAGGTATGTAAGTGGCAGACAGCACCGCAGTACTGTCAATTAGGTTACAATCATTCAGTTTTCCTAAGGTAGTACAGCAACATCCAAATGCCTACAGCCTTCACCTCAATAGTCCTGTTGAAACAAGCAATTGAATTGATAGCTAAAAAAATTATTTCACGGGTTCTGAATATCATTGTCAAGGGCAACATTTGTTGCCCATTTCTAATTCACCTCCGATGAGTTGTTTCATACGCCATTTCAGAGGGAGGTTAGGAGTCAATGACATTGCTGTGGGCCTGGAGTCACATGTAGACCCGGTAAGGATGGCAGATTTCTTCCCCAAGGGACCTAAGTGAACCAGATGGGATTTTACATTAACTGATAATTGCTTCGTGGGGAATACCAAGATTAACTTTATATTCCAGATTTGTCAACTAAAGGCTGCATCAGATTCAAGGCTGCATTGAAGCTGTTAAAGTATTAGCCTGGGTTTCTCATCCAGTTATATTATCACTGCACTACTGTCTCATCCCATAGGCACAAATATGGTAAAAGGAACAATTGCATTAGTTTGAGAATGAGCTAAAGGTTTATTAAATGTCCAGATGCTGTGTTCAGAAATGTCTCATAATACAATGTAAAGGGGGTAAATATCAAAGCACTGAAGGCAAAACAAAGATTTTTCAACTCTTTCTCTTTGAAGCTTCTTAATATATCAATTCTGATAAAATAGAGAGTTAACTCTTGAACAAATTTGATTTCCTTAAAAAATAACTTGAAGCACCTTGTCAGAGGGGAACACTTCAGTGAACAGATTGCCACCATCCTATGACAGTGTGCAGAGCAGACATGCTTTGTGACGTAATTTGGTTACAAAACCTTTTTGAAGCTGGTCACTTAGCTGTTACACTGAGTTTGTTGGTCTTGAGTGCTGATGATTTCAATTTTTGAACCTAGTTCCAAAGGCTTTGTGTAGCTGTTTCTTTGACATTGAAGGTATTTTGTGCCATGAGGCAACATTGGGGCCACATTACCATTTGTTTGGCAAACTCAAAATCCCATTGGACAGGACCAATAGAATCATGAACACAGGCTCAAGCTAAGAGCTTGGCTGTTAAGGACTATGATAAAGAGGGATTTCTTCACTTAGGTTGTTGTGAGTCTTTGGTATTATCTATCCTAGTGGGTTGTGGAATCATTGAGTACATTAAAGACAGATCTTTGGTTAATATTGTGTTCTGAAATATGGAGATATTGTACAAAAGTAGGTGGACAATTAGCAAGACCTTATGCATAATGGAGCAGATTCAAAGGATCAAATAGTGTACTGTGTTCCTACTTCTCATTTAAGAATCCCTACAGTGAGGAAGCAGGCCATTCAGCCCATACCACCCTGCTGAAGAGCATCCCGCCTGCACCCTTACCCTATCCCTGTAACCCTGCATTTTCCCATGGCTAATCCACCTAGCCACGCATCCCTGAGCACTATGGGCAATTTAGCATAACCAATCCACCTAATCTGCGCATCTTTGGACTGTGGGAGGAAACTGGAGCACCCAGAGAAAACCCATACAGGCACAAGGAGAATGTGCAAGCTCACACGGACAGTAACGCAAGGCTGGAATCAAACCCAGGTCCCTGGTGCTGTGAGGCAGCAGTGCTAACCACTGAGCCACCAAGCCACTGTGCCACCTCTTATGGTGTAAGAGGTTTGGTGTGGAGCTCTGTGCTAAAGTTCCTAATGGGAATCTGTGCTGGGGCTCTGCAGAGAACTCTGTGCTGAAGGTCTGAGCTGAGATTCATTTGGAGCTCCATTCTGTGGCTCGTTTGGAGCTCCGTGCTGTGGCTCATTTGGAGCTTCCTGCTGAGGCTCATCTGGAGCTTCCTGCTGAGGCTTGTTTGGAGCTCTTTGCTGAAGCTCTGTGCTATGGTTCAATTGGAGCTCTGTGCTGGGGCTCATTTGGAGCTCTTTGCTGAGGCTCTGTGCAGACTTTTTGAACTGTATTGATGTTCATGGCTGCTTCATTTTTAATTGATATTTTGAAAGCTTGTCTTTTGTAGATAGTTGGAACAATGACTACTTCCTTGGGGCAGTTTCACTACCAATAAGTGGAAAACAACATTATAATTTGTTAAAATCTTGTCTGACTGTAAACTGTTTCTCATTTGCCAAGCATTGTTCCCTGTCAAACATCCTTCTGTTTACACTTTGAAGACTGGAGGTCAATCCTACTAAGAATAGTGAAAGCTTACTCAGAGAAATTCCTGAGGTAAGGTCTGAGGTAAAAGCTGAACCCTATTCCTATAGAAACCAGACCTGAGGGTTCATCTCTAAAAGCAGCAGCTTAAGAAACTTAACCATTTTCTCTGTAGACTTGCTCTACCTTTTTACTCTCATCTGTGTCCAGATGCAGGTAATAGGTAGGATAAAGGCCTCGATCCATGCCTTTCTTGTCTCTTGTAACTTTGCATTTGATGGTCATGCCTTGTGCTGCAGGTGTCAAAACAAACTTCTCTAGGTCATTGATCTCAACGATGGGTGACTCTGCCCGAGATATGACACTGTCCTGGAAAGAAACAGAAAATAGGGAGTTATCTGCTGCATGCCAGATCTTGACTCAATCCTCTCTGCCCTGCTGTAGTAGACATATCCCATTTCCATCTTCAGTTGAACTATCACTGGATGATCCAGTAGACCTCACCCTTGATCTATGTGGGAGTATCAACATCACAATTCATGAACAACATTAATGAGATTTTTTTGTGTAAACCTTTAATATTAATGGCTGATCAAGGTTGAGGGTGGGAATCTTAACTCATTACTGGTTTATGCAATAGCCAGTCTCATTGGAGGCAGCAATCATTATAAATGACAAGTCTCATTAACAAGCCATGGCTGACTTTCACACCAGGAGGATGGTGTGAAGCAGTGTAAAGTCACACAGGCTAGAGGACTTTTACCTGGTTTTGGGTCACAGAATCATAAGAGTAGTAGAGACCTACAGCATGGAGACACGACTTTCGGTTCAAACTGGTCCATGCCAACCACAATAACCCCATTTCACTGCACTTGGCCCATATCCTTCTAACCTTTCCTATCCATGTATTCGTCCAAGTGCCTTTTAAATGTTGTTAATGTACCTGCCTCAACCACTTCCACTGGCAGTTCATTCCATATACACACCACCCTCTGTGTAAAAACATTGCCCCTCAGGTTCCCATGTATTCTTTCCCTTCTTACCTTAAACTGATGCCATCTAGTCCTCGATTCCTCAACCCTGGGAAAAAGAATGAGTGCATTCACCCTATCCACGCCTCTCATGATCTTGTACACTTCTATAAGATCCCCTCCACAGTCTCCTACGCTCTAAAGAATAAAGTTCTAGCTTGTCCAACTTCTCCCTATAACTCAGTCCTTTCAGTCCTGGCAACATTCTTGCAAATTTCTTCTGCACTCTTTCCAATTTACTGCCATCCTTTCTATAGCAAGGTGACCAAAACTGAACAAAATACTCCAAATACGCCTCACCAACGTCCTGTACAACTGTAACATAACTTCCCAACTTCTATACTCAGTGCCCCGACTGATGAAGGCCAGTGTGCCAAAAGCCTTCTTCACTGCTCTGTCTACCTGTGACTCAACTTTCAGAGAACCATGCACCTGAACTCCACTGTCCCTCTGTTCCATGACACTCGTTAAGGCCTTACCATTCGCCATGAAACTCCTACCTTGATTTGACTTTCCAACATGCAACACCTCACACTTATCTATATTAAACTCCATTTCCATTTCTTGGCCCATTTCCCCAGCTGATCAAGATCCTGCTGTAATTTCTGATAACCTTCCTCACTGTCCACTAAACCGCCTACTTTAGTGTCATTACTAATCATGCCTTGTACATTCTCATCCAAATCATTGATATAGATAACAAACAGCAATGGGCCCAGCACTCACCCCTGAGATACACCACTAGTCACAGGCCTTCAGTTCGACAAGCATTCTTCCACTATTACTCTCTGCTTCCTACCAATTTGTACCCAATTTGCCAGCTCTCCCTGGATTCCATGTGATCTAACCTTCCAGAGCAGCCTACCTTATCAAAGGCTTTACTGAAATCCATACAGACTACATCTACCACCCTGCCCTCATCAACCTTCCCGGCCACTTCATCAAAAAACTCTAACAAATTTGTGAGGCATGATCTCCCACACACAGAGCCATGCTGACTTCTCCTAATCAAACCCTGTCTTTACAAATGCATGTATATCTTATCCCTCAGAATCTTCTCAAGTAACTTACCTACCACAGATGTTAAACTTACTGATCTACAATTCGCAGGTTTTTCTTTGCAGCCCTTCTTGAATAAGGACACAACATTCGCTACCCTCCAGTCTTCTGGGATCTCAGCCATGGCTAATGATGATGCAAATATATCAGCCAGGGACCCTGCAATTTCTTCTGTCACCTCTTGCAGGGTTATTAAATACTACGGTCAGGACCAAGAGATTTACCCACCTTCATTGATTCTAATGCTTCCAATACATCCTATGCTGTGATATGGGCTGTACCCAACATATCATAACTAACTTTGCCAAGTAGCCAAGTCTTCATGTCTTTCTCCATGGTAAACACAGAGGAGAAATATTCATTGAGAACTTCATCCAGCTCCTGCAGTTCCACACGTACATGTCCACTTTGGTCCTTGAGGAGTCCTATTCTCTTTCTAGTTATTCTTTTTCCTTTAATATACTTAAAGAATCTCTTTGGATTCACCTTAATCTTCTCAGCCAAAGCTATCTTGTGCCCCAACACTAGTGGTGAAGCCATGCCCCTGCCTTGAAGCTCACCCATACCCATTGGGAGTGGAGGCAGGGCTTCTGGAATAATTGATGGTTTAGCAATGAGTCTATCCAGTTAGAGGAGTCTACAGGTTCCTCATGGTGCAGAAAGGAACACTGAGACTTTGCTCAACCCCAGGAGGGTAGGTTTTAAATTTCCCCTTTGGAGTTTTGACCAGATGCTTGCTGCTGGGGTGGCCACACTGCTGACTCACTGGTTGGCATGTCTTTAGAATCCTAAGATTCTGGTTTGCAGTAATATGCAAGGTGCCTACCTGATTCAGACTACCCATATTTCTGAAAAACAAAAAATCAGGAATCTTGGAAATACAGTTGTTCAGGAACTGTGTCATTGTATCTGGGTTTCTCTTTCTCAATTTTGACTGGGTGTGATGATCTAACATTCCTCAGTTAGAAGACTACAACTGACACATAGGTATAATTCACTGGTCTACCTCAGTTTTCTTAGGGATGAGGTGCATTGGGTTCCCAAATTGTTGGATGATGGTGGAGGCATACGTTTAACAGACAATGCAACCAACATATGGCCAGTGACAAAACCCTCATGGTTATCTCAATACCTGTCTTTTCTCAAAGCCTAACCCCTTATCGATGGCTCGTGAGACTTGCAGAGACCAATCTTTTCTATGACTTCTGATAGATAAAGCCTTAAAAGGAAGTCATGTGTTAAAATATTCTTATTACATTCATTGCCACCACATCCTGTTCAAAGCAAGATCGTTAATGGACTCATTCCCAATTTCAGACTGCTACACTGTCGCACTGGAATAAAAGTGAGATGGTGGTGTAGTGTTAATGTCTGTGGATGAGTGATCCAGAGGGTGAGGGTTCAAATCCTATCCCTACAAATGGTAGAATTTGAATGCAATTAATAAACCTGGAATTGAAAGCTGGTCTCAGTAATGGTGACTATGAAACTACCATTGTTCATTTTAGAAATCTATATGTTTCACTATTGGAAGGAAATGTGTCATATTTACCTGACCCACATGTGAGTCCAGACCCATTTAACTGCCCTCTGAAATGGCTCAGCAAACCACGCTGTTCAAGGGTAATTAGATAATTAGGACAAGTGATGCCCACTTACAAGCCGATACTTTTAAAAAGTCAACCTTCTACCCATTGGTGGGTGTCAGTTTCCCTGACTCTTATCGAACCTGTTGTTTTCCAGCTGATAGGAGGTTAACCAAACAAGAGATGGTTCAACAGGATCATGAAATATTTCTCCAAAAAGTAAACTTACATTGTTCGACTTTTTCTTTGATGCTTTGCCTTTTTTGTTACTGTTCCTTTGTGTGCTTGCCTCATCCTCACCATTGGATCCTATGAAATTGGAGAGACACGGTCACAAGTTGACAATATATCACAAACTGCGTGGTGGTGGGTATCAGGGATACCATGCCTTATGCCAAAATGAAATATTGCAGATGCTGGAAGTCTGAAGTAAAAAGACAATTCAATTTTTGTCAAGCTTTCCTTATCCCTCAGGCAAGGAGTTTCCAATACAGCAATGCAGGCATTCTACTGAAAACAGCCATGATTTTAAAAGCTAAACTCATGTAAAACAAAATTAATTCATACCTTGCAAAGTGCCTAAGACCACCACATTTAGTCCTGAAGACTGATCAGTATATGTCAGATAAGCCAAGGACGGTAAGGTGTCTCAAAAATTTGAGTAACTGTTAAAGACAGCCATTTTATGATGTGACTATGCAGCAGTAAAATGAGTGAGTGGTGTTAGACACTAACGTGATCTCCCCTGTCATCATGCCAAAAAGACATTTTTCACTAACTCCCGGTTATTATTCCAGCAAGATAATTCATTGTTTGGGTACGTAGTAACCACTTGAATTTATATTCAATGCAGCCATTATTCAATCTCTGGCCCATGGATCTGATTGTCAGGAACTGGCCAAGACTTCTTTGAAAGCAGTTGCTAAAATCAATGAACTAACTGGAAGCATGGTAGAAAAGTAGGAAAGCCAACAGCTTCAAGTTCCAATCCAAGTCATATGCCAAGTCACTTCTACTTGGAACTATATTGGCTAAACAGCTAAAGTTACAATGCTGCTCCTTTGGACGGTATCTCATCAACAGCATTGTGGGTGAAATTGTACCAGGTGGACTGCAGTGACACAAGAAGGCAGCTCACTTAGCATGTTCTCAAGCGAAATTAGGGATGGACAATAAGTGTTGACCTTTCAAGTGATGTATACCCGGGAACACATCAAAAAGAAAATATTCTGAAAGATATTGGGCATTGCATTACCAATTGCATTGTAGCAGAATGAGTGTGGTGGCATTTTCGTCATCCCTCATTCTCGATGTGGAAATGCATCCTTTGTTGAAGCCACTAATTGAGTTGGTAACACCTCCTGCTGGGATAGCCCATAACTATATTCATGCACTGCTTGATTTCGAGCAATGATTTAACTTAGGTCCACCATTCAGAGCAGGGTCTCTGCACTAAAGGCAGGGGAGGCGATGGCCTAGTGGTATTATCGCTGGACTGTTAACCCAGAGACCCAGATAATGTTCTGGGGACCTGGGTTTGAATCCCGCCATGGCAGATGGTGGAATTTGAATTCAATAAATATCTGGAATTAAGAGTCTAATGATGACTCATGAATCCATTGTCGATTGTCGGAAAAACCCATCTGGTTCACTAATGCCCTTTAGGGAAGGAAACTGCCATCCTTACCTGGTCTGGCCTACATGTAACTCCAGACCCACAGCAATGTGGTTGACTCTTAACTGCCCTCTGGGCAATTAGGGATGGGCAATAAATGCTGCCTGGCCAGTGACGCCCTCATCCCGTGATGAATAAAGAGGAAAAAAAAGGAGAACCACTGTAGTTCCAGAGCACCATAGGGCTACTCTCTCATTAGAGAGAGATGACTGGTGGTGAGTTTAACCCCAGGCAAGGAGTAAGGTTGAGAAGACGGGACTTTCGTGGTGACATCAGAACTAATCGGCAACCAAACCAACCAGGGGCCAGGACAAAACAGTAGTCAGGGGCATGTATAGGTAATTCACATCCTGTGTAATCTCTGAGAGGCAAGAGGATGCCTGCAGCTTCTCACATACTGACCTGGCAATGGAATATACAGCTTCTGTTAAATGTGTGGGGATAGTATTTCCAAGGAAGGGTCACATTCATTTGACTTTCGGTGAAAGAAAGCAGAAACCTTGGCGAAATGATGCAAAACAACATTTTGCCAGGATTTTGGGCGTTATTTTGGGAGGTGCGAGAATCTTGGTGGAACTCCTACTGGACAATGTTACGTACATAGTGTCACTCTCTTTTAGATGATTACCACTGGGATATCGCTTTATGTCAGCTCCAATCCATTAACCATCTTTCCCATGTCAGTGTAGTTCCCTGACCACTGATCAATTACTTCTCTGCTTGAGGACTCATGATTAAATTCAATTAAGCCCTCACCTGACCTCCAACATCTGATGATCATCCAGCACTGAGAGCAGAAACCCTGGGCTGAGTTCTATAGCAAAAGTAGCAACATCAACACTGAGAACAACTAACTTTGTTTGAACATAATTTCCATCTGGGGACTGTAGTGTATCAAGAATGGCATTGTTTTATCCATTTGAGGCTACCATTCATACATGTAGCAGCTGAAGGAGTCTGCCAGGAAAAGATCACAAAGGCTCCATGTTTAACAGTTTGTACTCTTCTGATTCCAAATATCTTTGGCTAAATATGCAACTGTGTCTGTCCAAAGAAAACATAATGGGTATGGATAAAAACCATCTGCATAGTGCCAGCTAATCAAATCAATGATACCCGACAGATATTCTCGCACTTACCACTATCTTAACATGTTAGAGAATATTTGTTTCTCCATTAAGTTTCTTGGAAACACTTAAACATTTGTGAAGTTCTTTTTCTCTGTATTACCATAAGCTGCAGCTGAAAGGTTAAGTTCCATATTACAGGAAAGCTTAATGGTTAAATAAAAAGCAAGGGAGAAAATGAAATATATTAGAAAGAAGGGATTACGTGACACCAAAGTTTGTTCATATAAGTGCCTTGAGATTTCAGGAGGTGGAGGTAATGGTGTGGGTAAGGTGATTCACAGTGGTAATGCCCTGAGTTGGGCAAAGTAGATAGCATGATGGTTGGGAGGAGTTTGGCAATGTTCACCCTTTGTAAAATATACCTAATTCTGCTCATCATGGAGCACAATGAAAGGGGAAAGCGGAATGAGCGTGAAATTACTGATCAATTCGATAATACTGAAGTTACACCATTAGGCAAAGTCAGAATTATACATTATGCATCTTGCAGTCAGCTTGTGGGAACCATACCTATCACCATAATCCCAAAAGAGTAAAGCTATTTGTTTAGGCTCTGCGAAAGAATATGATCACATCTGAGGGGATGAGTGGGGTAGGAGTGATGTTGAAGGCTAAGGGATTCTTGATGGAAGTAATAAGCTACAGTGACTGAAACAGTCGTAACCTTTCTTTCTGCTCTTGCTGTCCTTTTTGGCTGAACCGGCCTGGAACATGTTGGCTGTGTTCTTCATCTTTTTCTTCTTCGCCTTGGTGGGTTTTAGATTAGGCCCTGAGTCTTCATCCTCATCCCATATTGAATGGGTTTCTGGGTGTTGGAGACAGAGAGTACAGAAGGAAAGAACAGAAAGATTAACAGAGTAATGCAGAAGGTGAAGGGAATCAAGTGATTCAGAATCAGAGCAAAATTCAACTACTTTGGCTATAATTTTGGCTTTGGGCAATCGTGTTAAAAGGGTGAAATTCAACTGCTAGTTATCGAACCCTCCTGATATTCATTTCCGTTGAAGTCTATCACCCACTTAAATAGCCATTCAAAACTCTAACAACCCTTGTTGTGCTCAAAGAATTGAAATTGATTCTGCTTTTCCGATCACTGATGTAAGCTGGTATTCCTGATTGACTTCAATAGCTACAGAAGATAACATCAAGGGTAATGGGAATAACATGGAAATATGAATGAGGTAGATAGTCAGCAATGAACTTATTGATTGAGAAGTCTGAATGCCTACTCCAAGACCTATGTTTGTCAAGCTGATGGGCCAATGAGGTTGAACACACCCCCAGTTTCCTTTGTCCCTTAGATAAGCTTGGACCGAATTTAACACAAAACTAGAATGAATGATTCTTCCAGGTCCTAGACTATTAAATGGTAAAAATCTCATTCCCATGGCAGAAAGCTATTTGTTTTCTGACTTTGCACTTCCTAAATAGAAGCATGAATGTAAAACAGAAAGTTATGCTTCATAAAGCTTTAGGAATATATCAATAATGGACAGAAGATGGTCATTTGATTCTTTGAGCCTGCTCCCCCCTTCAATAAAATCATTGTTGATCTGTCCGTCTTTCAAATTCCACATTCCCATATATCCCTGATAAAGATCAAAGAACAATACAGCACGGGAACAGGCCCTTCAGCCCTCCAAGCCTGCACCAACACATTTTGCCCTTCCATACTAAAACTGTCTTCACTTACAGGATCCATATCCCTGTATTCCCTTGCTATTCATGTATTCATCCAAGTGTTTCTGGAATGCAAAAATAGCCTTTGATTTCACCATTTAACAAGAATTTATCTACCTCTACCTTAAAAATATTCAATGCCCCGCAATCTCTGCCACCTCCTGAGACTTTTTACTTCTTCCTGCTGAAGTGAACAACTTCACATTTTCCCACATCATACGCCATCTGCCAGATGTTTGCCCACTGGCTCAGACTGTCTACATCTGTCTGCAACCACCTTATGCCTTCTTTGCAGTATATATTCCTACTCATCTTTATGCCACTTTAGTGTCAAATTTAGCCACTATTTCTTTGCTGCCCTCATCTAAACCAGTAGTGTAAATTGCAAAAAGTTGAAACCCCAGTACACATCACTATGGAAACCCACTCATCATATCCTACCAATCAGGAAAAGACCCATTTATACATACTCTCATTTGCTAATATTGTACCCGCTTCACCATGCCTACTTTGTGGAATAACCTTTTATGTTGCACCTTGTCATTGAGTCACACAGCATGGAAACAGACCCTTCAGTCCAACCAGGCCACGCAGACTGTGTTTCCAAACTAACCTAGTCCTATCTGCCTGTGCTCGACCCACATCCCTCCAGACCTTTCCTATTGACGAACTTATCCAAACGTCTTTTAAATGTTGCGACTGTGCTTGCATCCATCACTTCCTCTTGCAGTTCATTCCACACATGAACAATTCTCTGTGTAAAAAAGTTGCCCCTCATGCCCTATTTAAATCTCTCTCCTCTCACCATAAAACTATGTGCCTTA